AAAGCCGATCCCCGTCACTTTTCGCCTATTGCCTTTTCCATCAGCTAAGTATCGCGTCTTTTTGTGTCCTTGTTAGGACTCTAACCACAAACCCTTGAGTTAGGACTTCAAACCCTTACCCTTAAGCTACACCGGACACAACGTGCGCACAGTTGACGAGTCCCAAACAGGATGAATCACAGAGTTGCGTAAAACCCTTCCTTGCCCAGTCTTTCCACAAATTTGTTACCTTTTTACATCCGAGTGAGAATCAACAATTTTTACTGAGTACCACCTCAAATCTTGTTGTATTGTAGTGGTTGTGATCACTGAATTTGTCTCTTTAACGTCAATCATTCGTATTCTTAGATGAATAAGGACAGAAAATGAAGTTGCGTGAACAAGTTTAAAGCGCCAAAAAGAAGAACAGTACTGCATTTGCCCCATAGAAATGAGAGCCGACCGCGAAAATTTGATGGAGTGATTTTGGATGAACAGTATGGCTAGTAAAACCAATAGTTGATCATTCACTACGATTTATCTGATTGGTATCACAATAAATATAACCTGCATGAGGATGGTGAATCTCCCTCACACTGGAACAAATCACATCAGTCAATACAGACTAAACTTTTACTGCCCACTTTTTCTCTAGGTCATTCATCAGTCGGGGTCAGGGGATTTCGCAAGCTAATCTATTAGGTATCCAAAAGAGCAGTTTTAACAGCTTAAAGCAGAGCGGAAGAGATACAGGGAATGTATCGTTCTTGTCTTGGTCGCTCACCAGAGTCTATTGGCGTTTTGACAGAGATCTTGAATGATTCTTTGATCAGTTTATAATTTCCCTTATTGAGTGTTTGAATTGGCAGATGATGATGGAGTTTCTCTTAGAAAGTGGATTTGTATTTGTTGTTTATATTAATTTCTGGGCATCTGTTTGCAGGGCATAAGAGCAATTTTTCAACAGGCACTGGAACAATCCGGTTGGTACCAGTATTGCTAGGTGCTACTCCAATTCGGGAGTAGCGTTTTTAGTACGTGTACAAAAAGGGGTCACTTGATTTTCGCGGTATCTGCGAAAAGATTAAAGGATAGTTTATTGTATCTAACAGACAGAGTGCCAAGCTGACGGTCACTGATGAGATGTTCATGAAAATACTAACAAAATGTTGCAAATTCAATGTTTCGTTCTGTCTAATCTTATTGACTCCCATACTGTGCTGTTCTCCAGTTAGGTAACTCTGCTTGACGCCATACTAGACTTTTGGAGGTATAACAACGGACCATGAACTGTGTCCATAGACCTGAACCAATAGAAGTGGAAGTCTTGAATAGATCCGCTGTAGTCATTACCAATGTAATCAATTGGAATTGATTACTGAGAAGGGTGGAGAGACTTCTGTATGATAAAATATCACTTTTTGTGTAAAAAAGTGGAACTCGATGGGAACAAACCACGACCTGAGTTTGCTTGAAGCAAGCGTTCTTCGATTTTCAGTTGTTTGAATGGTTTCGCGTGTGGACCGCCCAGACACCTTTATATTTCCTGTAAGCTTCCAAATTCAGCATTAAAGACGTCGATTATAACTGCAATGTACGCCAGGCAAACACTGTGAAAGCCGAACCAAATCGTGATAGAAAAAGTCCATCATCTTAGGCATACTGAAGTCAGTCTGTGGATGCACACACACGACGAGTGAGCAGCAAAGCTTCGTTTGGTTGCTGTTGACTTGTACGGAGCCATTCAGACATAGCGCACAGTCGGAAAGTGACTGTAATCTAGTCAAGATTTAAGCGCTTACTCTTGATAAATGGCGCAACCCCGACCACGCTTACGCTGAGCCTGCTATAGTTCAAAATACCTGACATACTGAGTGAGGTGTAGAGGTTTTGGAGACGCATCGTATGTCCACATTAAAGATTTCAACTAGTTGTATTCATGGCAACTTTTTACCAAACTGAGAGTGGGTCCAGTTACTAAATGAGGCTAACTGAATAGATGATCCTGGCTTCCGATTCGATTCCCTTACTTTTATAACCTAGTAACCTAGTATAACACATTAAGGCTAGAAACTAAAAATACCTCGTCTATTCAAGATGGGACGAAAGAACCAGAGCGATGGCTACGGGAGCTTCCGTGTTAAGTACCTGAAATTCTATGGTGGGTAATTCCCTGTAGCTCAAATCAACAAAAAGATTTTGAGTGAGGAAGCCTCACCGGAGTGTTTGACTCAAAAAATTGATCAAAAATTAAATGGGGTGGCTTTATGAGACTGAACATTGTCTGGCATCAATCCTTTAATCATTTTGGTATGACTTTATCTGCAAATGTGGTAGCCTTCCCGTTTTGTACCCTGTTTCATAAAAGCACGCATGCCATCGCGGAGGAGACAACTGTCAAGTGTGGTATCATCTTGATTTATAGATATAAATCTTATTTACTATAAAGACCCGATTCGGATCGAAGCTTTAAATCAAACATTTCACAACTCAATGTACACCTTCATTCTCCATTGAAGCATATATGTATATAACATTACATGCCGTGACATATCCGGTTTGACTTTCTCCTTACAATGCTTTTATCAGATTTGTATATTTTCTTATAGACAGGATGAACATATCATAACTGGTTTGAACCACACTTATTTCTCCACATTACTCTGCTCTGACCTTAGTAAACTCATTAATACACTCATTGAAGTATACTTAGTTGTACTGTAAATTATTATCGATTACCCTCCGTGTACTTTTTTACTGCTCAGGGGTGCAAACAGTGATAACTGATTCTTTCTATGGGCTAAAATTTACTCCCACTTAGAACTGTTTTCTTTCATTCGACCCAAACACATTATGTGGTATTCATGTAGCCTGTCTTGAGAAAATTTTCTTCTACTATGCCAGTCTGTTGAAGTTGTTGCTGAGTTTTTTCCCTTAGCGGTCCTTGTTTGCCGGGCTTGAAATCTCTTACTCATGTTTTAACCCACATTTCAATTTGCATAGTTCTACCCCCAGTGTTTTTTGCGTACAGTAGGATTACCGGCATCTTCATTGGGGAGAAAAAGTTGTTAAACTGTGGTATGAAGACGGAATTTGAAATACTGTCTCTGCTACTAGAACGCGAAGTCAGACCTCTGAATTGTTTCTATGCAAACCAATTGTTTATTTAACGCTTGGTTTCCCTTGTGTAGTAAGGAGTGAGACTAGCTTTCGGACAGAATAAAAAATACCACGTTTTCAATTCACAGTGAGTAAACAAATGCTGCATTTATTCATCCTTCTTCGGCCACACTCATCACTCATTTGGTCCCGAGTTATCCCATCTCGTTGGAACAGTTTCTCTCCGTGAATCACATGAACATGGTTTACTCTCAAGGTATAATCTGCAGTCTACCCAGAATACTTTCATCTCTCGATTAGAAAAACTTGATAAGAAATCATTAGCACACATACATAAATACAAACCTAATCATTCAGTTCAGTTGCAAACCGTTTATGAGTACTGAAAACCAGTTTGATTTGCGATCACTTTCACAGATACATCACAGGTCGTGATTCCAACACCTTCAGGGCTAAGCATTTTCTGTTCTAAATGCTCAGGTATATCTCTCCATTCGCTGAAAACTACATATCGGATTTCGTCTCCTTTCGGGTCTATTTCGCTTGTGGGTCTCTGAATGACTAATCCAAATAGGGGCACTGAATGTTTCGTGATTAAGTCGTGCTTGCAATTTCATTATGCCCATCTATCTGGTGAGCAGCAAAGTTATATCTAATCTACGTTTCTCCTTGAAAATTTGAAGAAGAAAGAGATCTGTTTGTGAAGTTGGGAAGAGACAGTCCACAGCTTCACTGAAAAAATTGGAGCCTACCACAGGGTGCTACCTTTTCACCTCATCATTTTAAAACATACATTCGAGAATGAACTGCCATTCCTCCCATTCGTTATTTTAGATAGGCCGCATACATATCCTTACCTCTTCCTACTCTTAATAAGACCCGTTTTGAAACCTATAGGAATAAGGTATCACGAGTTGTTACAGAGCGTACTTCATCCAGTTTGTGTTCTATATCAGTTTAAGATTGTATATATAGGAGGAAAGCCAATGCGAAGGATCAGTCATACAAACTACTCACATAACTCTCGGAAATGATTATCTGTGTTTTCTGCATACATGCGTTGTTGATTGCAAACTAAAAGGACATCTGATGTAAGTCAGACGATTGCATCACCTTTGCAATAAACAGTGAAGGCCAAGATCGTTCGTTTTCTCTCTGAACTACTATGCCGCTTTCCGGTGATGCTGTTCGACCTGCGGAGGACTGAAAGGTAGCTTCATAAGCCTTTTTCTTGTTTCTCATATTTTCTCCTCTGTTCCGATAAGCGATCTTTCAGGTGGAAATATTAATCCTTCCTCTCCAGAAGTTTGCAAACGAAATATTGTCTGATAAAGTCTAACGGTGGGCATTGGCCTAACTGAATGTAAGTCACACTTCTTCAATCGCTTTAACTACCAAATCCCTCATATCCACCTGAAGGTACTTCTCGACAGTTTGATCCTGGTCGAATTCTGACTGACAAATTTAAAGCTTATTCTGAATTGTACCATTTGTTTTACAGATGTTTTTGTGTTTCTCTACAGTGTCCCTTTTCGTACTACATTTGCCAGTATGGTAGAGTGGTTTCTTTTAGCGGAAACTTGTGCTTAGATTCCTAAAGCTTAGATACATATATAGTCACTCTTCTCACAATCGGCGCAGTCTGCTCCGCCTTTTCTCTTTCAACGAAATAACGAAAACAATCAAATAGATTATGTGAAATGGAAACAAAAACGTTTATTGCAACTTAGATAAAAAAACGTTTATTACTCAAAAAACAATTATTTAAATACATTGAGTGGCAGAATGAGCAATAGTGGTAGGGGAAGATGGATATTTGATCCGAAGGACCTTCATGACCACACACACATACACATACACACCGACTTCCGAGAATTGTGTGCAACAGATTCACTGAGAGCTTAGTTTTTCAGTGGCATAGGTCGGTTTTTCCACGAATCCAGAAGTCGATGAATCGAATTACCCGCATGTACCAGTTCTTGTCCGGTTTTGCTCATCCAACTGGAAATAATCAGCATGTAAACGGCTGCACTCCTGTACAGTTTCTTCGAAGGGCCATGCGGTCTTGGTAACCAGGTGTCATTTCCTTGGGGAGTAATTCCGAACCCAGGATCAATTTCTTCTGTTACTAATGAATCCGTGCTATTCGGTTTATTAGTGGGCGGATGAGTAGGGTGCTTCTTGTCGTCGTCATCATCATCATCATCATCATCGTCATCATCATCATCGTCATCGTCATCATCATCGTCTTCTCCTGGTCTGTTTCCATGTCCAGGTTTGTGGCCATGTCCATGTCCATGCCCATGCCCATGCCCATGCCATTGTCCTTGTCCAAATGACCCTGGTCTTTTTCCAGGTTTAGCCTCTACCTCCGTGAAATAGAGGCTCAGTAAAACCACCAGGCAAAACAGGAACAGAACTGAAAATCGCATTTTGTACCCGCTTGACTGAAACATTACCACAGAACAAACTTATATATATATGCTTGAACAGAAATTGTTCACATTGTACAATTCTGTCTGGGCCAAGCAGCAGGCGATCAATCTTTACGCGCAGTTCATGTTTCAACACGTTCTACGCTCACTCAATTGATGATTCAACTCCAGACCGTAGACACAATGCTCTATTTGACGGGGCGAAAACAGCACCGCCACCACCACTAACAACAACAGCAACAATAAAAACAGTAAAAATCCAAGAAACGTCCGATTACTGGTTTATCTTTGTGACATGATCAGACAAGTGTGTTACGTAACGACCTCCTATTGCATCAGCTTTGTTAGGTTCACACACTTTTGGGGAAGTGGTTCAGGGAACGAGGCCAATTCATATGAATGACCTTTTAGTGGAGACCACATCCGGCCATCGGTGGCTTAGAGTTGCGGCCTGGTATACAGAAGAAGGCAAGCAGGTTTGATGGGAAATGCAGAGTGTACAATAAGTCAAAGTTTATTCAGGCACCAACAGAATGAAATTAGTAGTACAGTATTTTGGAATCCGTTAGTGAGTGATAGCTCTAGAGATTTAGAAAAACGGCATCAACCTCCTAGTGATAAATTTGTAAACTTTACTACAATGGGCAAGTAAGATAAAATAATGCATTATTGAGAAATAAACATACTCCTGCGCAGTATTGAAGATCTACAAAATTCACTGCCCCCAAATGTGTTGTGTAATTGTCCATAGGTTAGGCGTGCATTGTACAACGCAGGCATACACGACGAAAGTAACCATATAACCTAACCAAATCCTCCATTACTCTCATGTAAATTTCAATCAGGTTAGAATGCTTCCAACTACGTCACGACCGTGGAGGCTAGTGCTTAGATGAGCGAGGTTCGACCCCCGCAAAGATGAGTGATGCTTCATCGTGTATAGTCAATAGTAAAAGCATCCGATCGATCTGTTCAGTAGCCGAGGGGGCAGTACGCTTACGTTCTACCTGGTTAGTATTCGCAAGTGGGTCGATGGATTCACCCCTTTGATGAGACCCCACAAAACCTAAGGAGATGTTCGTCAAGCCACGACTTCCAGCAGCCCCTTCTACCAATTTGTTTGGTACGGATTGGTGCGATAAACAAAGAAACGACACAAGTTATTCGTATGAAATTCTAAGTTTGTCCATCCCGCCTTGATGGAATTGTTTATCATCAGAAGTAAACTTTCATTCAGTATGAGGAGAAAAGGATAAAGGTATCCCCAAGTTAGGTAGTATCTGGATAGCGGCAAACTGCAACTATAAACCATAGTATTTCTATAAAAGATAATCGTGAGGTGCGGCGAATGATCAATCACACAATGGCATAACGATGAAGAGTAACAGTTGCATTAATGATAGAACCGCAATACCTGAAACCTTGTTACGATGCTATTCTGAAAGCTCGACACGCAATCGTAGTGGGAGCTTTCTAAGCACTTCAAAACAAATAAGGTAAACTGTGCATATTAAAAATTACTCGAGAAAGCAAAAAAACATTGACCCAGACTGATTTGGTAGCCTGTCAAACCATAAGGCAGGAGATGATTTGTGGAAGATTTTTCCGGACACACCAGATAGTTCATTATCTCCTTTGATTTCTCTTTTACTTTTCGTTTTCATTTTTTATTTTTACTTCCTTTTATGGAATACATAATGAGACAAGCTTTAGGGACAGGGAAGCGGTCAGTCAAAGGGCTACCATACAACACGCAATTGGAAAATTCAGGCAGTGGTGGTGGGATTCGTACACACGTCCTTCGGTGTGATACTTTTGATGACAGTATAACCGGGCCACCACCGCCCTAACCTTAAACTGAAGCTTCAAAGATCGAACATGTTACTGTGGATTTTCACTGGAACACATGAGTAAGAACGGAGCAGAGAGAAGATCGTCAGGGTATCTGACCCACCAGAGATCGGCACTGCCTGAATGTGGCATAGTCTTTAATTGCATGAGTGTGGCATGTAGGTAGGTTAGGCGTTGAAATATTCCGTTGCTCTGTTTAATTTCTTTTTACATTAGACAACAATGCAACTCGCTCAAACAAGAGCTGCTAGAAGATTCCATGAAAATGGCTCAATCAGACATGGGGACTGGGATTCGTTCAAACATTGGATTTTTTAGGCGATTTAACTTATCCACCGCTGCCACTTCGGTCAATTGCTCAGTGCCTGCTCGTTTACTTTGCATCTAACATCACAGAGTAGCGTTGAGCGCACCATTAGCGACAATTTTTAACTTCGAATTCAAACAATACTAGACACTGCTACACTGAAATAACCAAAGATGAGCAGGTAACATTGCAACCATCGATATATCCGCTATTTCAAGGAAGTGGTCACATGGAATTTGTAATGAACGTGATAATACACATCAAAATATACATAACAAACGCATAATGCATTTTAAGAATATGTGAAAATATAATGGACTATTTAACTTGCATATTTACACGCGAGAAGAGCGAGACACGAACCCGATTGTTTAACGACCTCAAACATCCGTTCCGAAAATTGACAGCTTACATAAAATATGGTGCTAAGAAAATATATGGGGTCGTATAATAAACTGTCGGAATTCAGAGATCAAGAGCTATGCTCGGAGTATTCCGTCGGAACACAACATGCATTCTGTTTATATGATGAACAGAAGATCAAACTGGGCATGTCGAATAGCTATCATGTGATTTGGTGGATCACGTGCATTGTTTTTGCCAGACTGTCCGCTTGATATCAGGCGCTGTGTCAGACATTCCGTTACGCAATCCAAGTCGCATTTTCAGCTTTATTAATTTGTTAAACTTTCATTTGATGAAATGTTTCATCTAAGGGTTCATGCGCAGCGGAGAACTGCTCTGTCATCCTCATTAGTTTGAAGTTGTTAACATGGGTACCACAGATGCGGATGAATAAAAGTGAACATCATCGTCAGTGATTAGTTTTTGATACTATAACAAATAATAATAATGGTAAGATTGACATAGTCGCATCACATCTTTCCAGTTCGGGCTACTTGAAACCCCACTCATTTTTTCTCACTCTGTCAAAAGACCGACAAATTTACAACACCAGAGTGCCACAAACAATAAAAGATATCATTAATGGTAGATGTCATCAGAATTTCTGGGTTTTCCACGAAAAGTTAACTCTTTCATAGCTGTTTCTTTGTAGTGCGCAAAAAAGCCTATAAGTTAAGTAGCAACCAATAAATCACACAAAATGAGCACGTACAACGGCAGGCAACCAAAGGCAACCCGTTAGCGTTTACATTTCTAGGCTTCCGATGGAAAGTGGTCCGCGTTTGGAAGAGCAAATATCAATGATTCTGTCAAGCATACCAAACGAAATTTCCAATCGTTCTCTGTCACGGTTATTCACTGCACACATCTGTCAATCACCCGTTAGACAATGACCTGGGGCGCATTATTCCCCGCCACGTGCACCAAAGGAATGACCTTCAAGATCACCTGATCTGTCCCCTTTGGATTTCTTTCTGTGGGGATATATAAAACGAACTTTTTATTCCCGAAAACTGAAAACGATCGAGGAGCTTAAACGAAGTATTGTGGAGCAGTGCTGCCATTCTGAAGGTGGAAGAAACTATCTTCAACGGAGTTTGCAATGTAAGCCGCAGCACAGAAAACATGTTGAACAACTTGGTTAAAATAAACGCATTTTTCTATAATATTTGTGTTTTCCTTCTTCAGGAATTCTATCTCCGACGTAGTTAGCGAGAAACTTCAACAGCCAGTAGGGAAAAACCAAGAAGAGTTTTACGTGGGCCTACATTAGGGGGTATTTTTCTCCGTTATTAAGACCAGTTAAAAGTTTTATTATGATTATCTGTTTACCAAACCCGCTTCGAAGAATAGTGCCTGTGTCGTAGACGAGTCAAGCGTTGGCCCAGTGTCATCATCGCTTGAGCATTTTCCATTCCGAATTTCTCACATGGCGCACCACTCCACAGCTGATCCCCCTGTGGTGATTCCTCACCAACACATAAGCAGCATCGGATTCAGAAATTATCCTCCTCCAGTGCCGGCCGGAATAACACACGATCGATCGGGTTCATTTATCGATCGGTCGGATGGTTCAAGCTCAACAAGGAACCTGGTACTTGCCCGGCTAACCCGAGCGAGAAACCACACCTTGTTTACAGCCGTGAGTCTCGGACAGGCCCAGTGAACTTAGACAATGCGGCACGAGTGCACGTGACAACAAGAGCATCACGAAAAGTCCAAGCCGGTAATCAGACAGTCTCATGTTGGGATGAGGGAGTCCAAGTGCCGCAGATGGCAGAATATGACCAATCAGATCACAGAGAGGGTCAGAGGGAATTAACTTGTCCAAGGTCACGGGTGAGAAGGACGAGACAATGTGAAACGATGGAGCAATCGCACTGTATGTACTTGGGCGGATTGAGCAGTCACATTTGTTAGTTTTGGTTTGTGGTATTTTTTGATCGCGTGTCCAAACTGGAATGGTGTTCAAAATTAGACAGAGAAGTGGTTTGGCAGATTAGAACTGAATAAAGAGGGATGAACCGCTGAATTCGTTTTGCTTATGATAACCAGAGTGTTTGAAAAAACCCTTTTCGACTTTTGATTTGTTTTCTACGAGGAGCCTGTGTTAACCATAATATAAGGCGTAACCTCTAGTACTAACTCAAAGCAAGTCCACAATCAGAAAATTCCTAATTATCAGTCTGCATAATTTTTTGATACAATCATTGTACCTGTCTATAGACCCCTGTCGGTGATCGAAGGTTAGTTTCTGTAATCTGGCCAGTCGACTGCGATGCATCCCCCAAACTTGCCATTACGTGACCTTAAACAGTTTGTGAGATTGTTTGAATGATCACCTATGTGTTATCGCTGTGTTATCCCTCTCACTGCATTTTCCTGTCTGTTTCGAATATCGCTCTTGCTATACCCTCCACTGCTTGACGCAGCGTATGAATATCTTGTACAAGCGCAACAATCTTCGAAAAGTTTCCCGATTCGTCGTTCAACAAACTAATTCCACAAAATGCAGTCATCTTATTAGAGGTGGTAAAAGTAGCAGAGCATAGAACGCAACTGACAAACTTAGGATAATTCTGGTATTTGAGTAGTCAATGTACTATTGAATCTTAAAATGTTCACCAAGTCGAATCATAAATAGATGTAAGACCATACTTACATAATTGATCAGGATTGACACGTTGATACAGCTTTCGGAGTCGTATTTGAGTAGCTTTTCATTATCTGTGATGTCAAGTTCCACTAAGTAGTAACGGTCATTTTCCAAACTGCCGTGGAACACAAATAATGGGCAAACAGGTACAAAAATCGTTATTCGTGCATTCGATTCTTTGGAACGACGATCAAGTGAAAACTATCTTCTGCTTGATTGTTCAATAATCCAGGTCAAGCCGGGTTAATCCGCATTAACTTCGTTCGTTTTTTATTGATTGCACCATTCAAGAAGATGAATACAATGCTGTTCCATCTCAACATTGCGTGACATGAACTCTTTCCTCCAGTTGATATCTTAGTAAAGCCCGCGGATGTTTTCTCCATTGGAGTTATTATTAATAGGTTCAAAAGCTATAATATATAATTGTATTTTATCCCACTGCCTAAATAGCTGTGCTCTCTGATTGAATCAGAAAATTGTTCACTGTCATACTAAATCGTGAATTCGAAACAAAACGGAACAGATTAAAGCTGTAGTGATTCGTAAATCACAGCCAGGCCGGTGGTCTGGGTGTATTCCAATCAAATAGGCAAATGCTTGACAAAGGGACAATGAGTAGAAAAGTGTTAGTGTTAACCGGATTTAATTGGTTTTCCACACGATTTGGTCATTTTTGTCAAGTAATTTGATAGAACATGAGCTAACGGATGTAACCGACGTGTCTGTGCAACGTAGGCTTTCTTAGATGTTTTACCATTTGGTGATAGGCCAAATTTAAATAAGCCTATGGATACGACAGACAATAGGCGAGTTGACTGTCTTGGCACAGAAAATAAATAGAGTTTGCATACTGTGTTTTCAATTTTCACGTTTCAAATGCTTTTGCCCAATGACGAATAACACATTCGTGAAAGAAATGAATAGTCAATGCTCAACATTCATTCAAAAAACAAAAACATTTAGTAAATAGCAGTCAATCATTATTCTACATCCATCATTAATACACACCTTGCGGAGTGAATTCGATTCCCCCAAATTCAGGGGAGAATAACAATTCTGCTATACATGTTAGAAAGAAGAAAATGACCGGAGTTTCGGAAAATCATCGTGAGTAATGGAGAACAGTCAACCGAAACATGGTTATGCAACTCCGGCCCGAGTGACCGAGTTAATGAACTTCAAAATCAAACATTTGTTAAATTGTTCCCCTTTATACAGTCCTTCACAATTCTCATTTTATTAACGGTTATTTGCAAGTTTTCAAGTGGTATAATTGAGTGTTTGGGTTGATAATTGTTTAGACTATTTCTTTAAGCACAATCCTGACTTCATTTAGCTAACTGTACATTCGAGAAGCTCTAGACTAAAGTTTTGCCTTCAGAAGAGCTGTACAGTAGTACACATCCGCCATCATGCCCGGGCTCTTAACTCCGACCCAGTAGCATTGAATGCATGTGCTACCAATGTGCCAGCTAGCTCACACCCAGGATTAGCCAGAATAACCAAGTCATTTTTGTCCTCAACAATAGTCATTCGGTCAGTAATTGGCCGATCAGCATAGAAAAAGACACGGTTAACAATTGATGAACTCCATTTCCAAAGCCTTCAGAAAGCAAAAGCGAGAAGGGATAATGGATTTGCATTACTGATGAGCTCAAAGCAGCGCGAAACTCCACTATAGGGCTTCCAACGTGTATCATTGGCCGGGATAAACTGAGGATTGCGTGTAAAGATGGAGTTTGACGGATAATCAATTCCACTCACAACACTGTGTAACTTTCTAAATGTTATCTCCGGGAAAGACGCGAAATGTTCTGGCAGCTGTGGTATTGTCACAAACTTCTAGATGAATCTTCTAACACCTGTCGTTTCAGAAAGCACGTAGCAATTCGATTAATGTTTCACTCTTCTAGGACACCCAAATGTGATAAGTGGTGAACTTTTCATCATCCGACCACATTTTAACATCCTCCTTGCTAAAATCTACCAACCAGAGCTAAAGAAATCACAAGTTTTACTTGCTTGTCAATAATTTGCTTCCACGGAGTCAACTTCCGGAGCTGTAAACGGTACTGGTAGCCTGACCTGCCTCCAGGACTCTTGAATAGACTAAGCTTATCGATCTATTGGACAAACGGATGTAAATTTTGGCTACCTGAATGAAAGCGGCTTTGATGGCTGGACAAAAGAGGCCAGCTGATTGTGATCTGAAAACAATTCACGTATAGCCTTTGTAATCAAATATTTCTTTCTAACGCTCGAAGTATTGCGTTCTCTACATCAACCCATTAATTTGACTTTGATTAGGGAATATTGCAACAACTCCCAATGGCAACATTATAACGAGCACAAATACAACCTTTGCATCAATCAGCAGATCACAGTAATCTCCACTTCTACATTATACACAATCTGAATGTTGTGGCCACTCTACTTTATCTAGAGTGGACTATAGGATAGGGTAGACCGGCTTTGTGAGCCGCGTGAAGTTTCATCACAATTCAGTAAAACAGACGCCTTTTCAATTGAAATGCATCCCTAGGATTCGCACAACCAGGGGGGGATACAGTGTTGCTGTGGGTTATTCATGGCGCCGCAACAGCTTATTCACATTTCGATGGACTTAGATTAAACTTCGATATGAATTCTATAGTTGCATTTTTGATCATAACTCTTACATGCTGTCCGTCCTATAAGGAGTAGCACACGTCGCAAGTTTCCAGCAATCTTGTAGAAACTTTTCAGCCTCTGCTACCCTAAAACCTTGGGAATCTGAAAGGTACATCAATTTCCTGAAGCCATAGGATGAAACAGGAATACCACAGATGTGATGTTATATATACCCAAGGGACTTAATGAATCCTAACATCAAAGCTGCAATTCCTATCAGATACCCCAAACAAACTGGTGGGTACATACTGTATATAATATACAAAAGCTACGGTCGATCTTTTTATTTGTGCTCAGCCTTAATTTACTTAAGAATAACTCTTGGGGGTCTTCAGCTTTCCATTTCTTTCAGTATAGTCTTATTGACCAAAATAAACATATACTTTCAAAGCAATAAACAAGCCTTAATTCTACCAGGGTATGTATTTGAGAGATGTTTGGCATCAAGATGTTAATCCAGTCCACTTTGATTTAGTTCTGTCGATTCACTGCTGTACTTGTTTCGGAGTACAATTCGGTATTTTAGGAACTACGAATGATGCCTTAAATGTTGTAGGGAAATTGATTGCATCAAGGGTTTTCAAAATTTAGTGAAACAGAACGTTCTGAAAATGAACCGACAAAACACTGCTTTTTGAAACATGATCTAACTTTTGGCTCAAAAACACCCCGCCCCACCCCACTGCGTTCGTAAAACTACCACGAGGAGAACTACTACGGAACAAGTTACAACCAGCAACAATCGTTTGTAAGTTTACCTCTTTCTACTACTCCATTATCGGATCCGGTGGAATCAAGGCTTTTCATGCTCAGAATGAGCTAGGGTGGAATAAACTTTTTTCTGTTGACTGACTTGCCATTTGGCGAACTGACGATGTGGCACCACCTACATTCTCTACTGGTATACACATGTCACCTCACGCTTTTCTCGGTAAGCTGTGTCGAGTTGGTTAGAGGGTTGGGTTGTGCGATTACCTCACCAAGCTTCAACCCGTACGCAGCTCATGGAAGCAGTTCTGAGGATTTGGTTTGGTAAGTAGATGTGGTTTGAATTATGTGGATCCAAATCACTATCCACCTGTTCAAACAACACACGGATACAGTAACCGTGTCTCACATCTCAAGCCAAACTGAACATGTGACCAATTCATAGCAAAACAGAAACTCTCTCGGTCCCCGTACATATATATAAATATACATGATGCAGAGCTCTCCTTCGTAGTACGAGCGATCGGAACAAGATGTCTCGGAGTGCATTTTTGATTTTCCTCGGTCTGACTTTGTGCTTCGCACAAACCGCATACTCGCAAAACGTAACTGGGGCAGAAGAACTGTGTCAATTGCCGCCAAGACCCGGGAGCGGGAATCAGACCACTGAACAACTGACCACCGAAGGCGAACAGACAAATGTCACTTCTGTACCCATAGTGCCGTTGCCCGGAGGTGGAAATGGGACAACCGAGTATACGACTCAATATGTCCCGGATTTGGGCAATGGTACAACCGCATATCCTCCACCGTTCGTGAGTGAGAATCAGACAACCGAATATTACCCGGAATTAGGAAATGATACAACAACGGAATTTCCACCGTACTTTGGTAATGGAACAACCGAGTTTCCGGGTGATCTTGGGAATGGCACAGAGAGCTACCCGGAGGACATTGATCCAGGTTTCGGTGTACCTCACCCGAACGGAACATTCCCGGGCTGGTTTCCAGGACACAAGCCTACTCGACCATGTTTTCTAAAGGACAGCTGTTGGTTTATCCTTTTGACCTATATGCGAATTATTGCTCACCTATTCGTCAAAACCGGTCACATCATGATGGATTCTGGAGATGCGATTCAAAAGCTTTTGGTAGAATATAAGCAACGGGGTGTGCCCACGGCATAAACTGACACTCGTTCAAAATGAAATCCAACCCGTCCCTTCCCGGCCCAAACCCCTCCGTGATCCATACACACACACATACACACACATATATAAACATACATGTATGTATGAAAATGTAATACATTACAAAAGCTTGAGAGCTGGCAGAAAAACCAACATGTTGTGCTTTTCAGTGGACGTTTTTATTTGTTTGCAAGTGTAATTTTCCTTTGTTGCTTTTCATGAAAAAAACATTACAACACACTCGAACTCCGTCTGTATTATTTCTGCCTACGTGTCCGATCGATCTGGAAAAATGCGGAAAACATTTAGAGTTTCGAATACTGTGGGATTATTGAACCGATGGTCGTATGTTGTAGTAAGAAAGTCTAGCTCATCTCCCTTGAGGGGTATTACTGATTGGGACCAATTCGTGGGGCTGCATTTTAGCGGACGGTTTGGGTGAAAGTTTGTCAAGTATTGGTGATCAAACTAGAGTACGACGGGGGTTATACGTCACAATATAGTAGTATTTAAATGATAACCTCGCTGAGAGATCGGTGGTAATCTCACGTAGTAATATGTAATACGGCACCTTTCGCCCGAGTTCATCACAGAAAGTGGCATCGATCAGGGTTGTCCTCTCTCTCCTTTACTGTTTAACTTCGTTTTAGATTTGATTTTCGAAACCGCCCAGAGCAAAGCGGCATCGATTTGCTCCCAGATGATAGACTGTTTCATCAGCATTTTGCAGAGGACAGTGTATTGCCAACTGGTAAGTTGCAAGCTTTTCTGGATAGTTTCAGTGCCAGCTTAGCGATGTCCGACATAAGTTTCGCGCCTTCAAAATGTAAACGTTTGTCCCAGGACTGTGTTGACCCAGTCTACCAGCATCATTGTACAGGCAGTGAACAAATTTTGCTACTTTGGGAGCTACATCTCACGAGGCGAGTGCATCATGGACTAACTATCGGCACGTATGCAGCAGGTTCAGTTGACACTGGCAAACTTGAGACATCTGTACCATCGGAAAATCTGATTATCTGTAAAGGATTGAGTATATGTGGCAGCAGGTTGGCTAGTTCTGCTATACGATGCAGAAATATGGTCATTACGGAAACAGGATAGAAAAAGACCATCGGTTTTCGAACACCGCCATTTACGCCGCACTGCATGAGTTTGATGGTGCAACCGGACAAACAATGCGGAGGTTGAGCGCAGAGTTTTAGGTAATAGTGGATGTCCACCGGAGCAAGTAGTCGACCTCCATGGACTGCATTTCTCAGTGCAAGTGCTGCGCATTTCAGCTTTATTTATGAACAATTTCATCGTTGCATCGAATCTGATTCTTGCCCACTCATTTGTACCATGATTACGAGCAATCAAGTCCAATTGTTCGTGTTTAGTAGTAATTTCTCAAACGAATGCGGTTATAACAACATATATGTGGACGGATGTTTTAAATTTTGCTTGTCTTCGCCCATCATCCTTAATAATTTTCACCTCTGATAATCAGTCAAGCTTTACCCACTGAAAGTTTACTATTCAGCGAAAGTTATCCAGCATGATCCACCTCACCTTCGATTCCATACCCTGACGTAGCTTCTGTGCCACTGTAAACAGTTAGTGACCCACATGATTTAAGCATGGTCATTTGATTGTTTTCTCAAGTAGGAGCAAGTGATGGCTCAAGATTAATCCGTATTGATTCTATAATCAACTTCTCGTCCACTTGAACTATGACTTTATCAAGATTTTTTCACATTTACTTCGCATTTCTATCGCAACCAAGTGAACCGAATGGTTCAGTGTCATCAGTAACACTTCTCGTTTTGTTTACGATCAATACACTTTTTGATAATCAGTAGTTGGCGCAAACAAATAGCAGCAACCGGAGTAAAATCAAGTCACGGAATCGTTTGCA